AGATGCAAGAAACCAACAGTCTGCATACAAATAAGCAAGATCTGTAAAATGGATGTGCATGCAAAAACTGGATCTAGACCACAAGTGTTTACAGCTAGTAGAGAAGAAATGTGACAAAGTCTTAGACCCCACTTCTATTGAAAAACCTGACAAGGCTCAACAACAACAACAAATAAGAAAAACTCCACATGGGAGCATGAACTGCAGGGGTCTACCGGTCTTCAGTAGAAAATCCTTCGACAATTGTTTCGGCCAGTTACTTCCTAAACAAATTGTGGGCCAACCTGGTTCATGAAGCCAGGCCCCAGAACTTCCCTGCTGTGCTCGATGGAACAACGTACTTTTCGGATGAGACGAGACGACGGTGCACTCAATAGGTAACTGGTGAGATGATTCAGTTTATTGTTGCTGTGCTTTGTTCGCACCACGGCAGCTGCTCTACCTGTAGTTGAATGGCAAGCGAGATGGTTGGACATGCTCGTGTGCTGTAGCCGGACATGTAAAACATACAATACAATTAAATGAGAGGTTAACCTGCATGTTTTTTCCCAAACGTTTATTTAATGAAGGTTTATATGTACACATTTCATGCTATTTGAGCATTCAATCTTAATGTTCCATCTTTAAACATAGTATAATATATATGCTTTGAAACTAAAACTACCACCACACTAACACATAATTATATCACCCTAAACATTTTTGCAACACAGAAAGCTATATTACTTTCCAAAATGTTACTCCAACTCTTTAAATCCCTACTAAACAACACACCATATTTTTTAAGACATACTAAAAATAAGAGTAAATCTATAATAGAAGGGCAAAACAAAAGGGTTGCGGTTTTTGATATCAATGACCCCATAAATTTGTTGTGTGCACCACTAGTTGGGAATTACTGTTCTGGACAGATGGTTAACTCCTTGAATCTAAATTATTAGTTTAACCCTTTTTTTTTGGTCTCAAAAGGTTTTGTAAAAAAAATTTACTTTTCCCGTTAAAATTTGTCACAAAAACTCCACCTGCTGTGCTGTAGGGATAAAAAAAATTAATAAAAGCACCATTTTAGCATACTGACCAAAACTTATAGAAGACACTTGATTTGATGTTTGAGACATGTGGGGGGAACAGTCAAAAACACATCAGCATTGTTGGGGACTGAAAGAATCAACTACATTTCTCCTTGTGTTTCTAATCAACTCCTTCAAACCTAAGTAGGGGGTTGCCTTTAAGCTCTGCTTCTTGGGATAGAAGAAGTCCAAGGAACAAAAACAAAAAAATCAACAAAGGAAAAACGACAAAAGAAAATCATTTTTATTGTTTACTGTAACTTATGTATTCTGTACCCTACGTGCTTAACAGATGCACATGAAAGTAATGTATCTTTTTTCTGGAACAAATAATTCTTTGATCATCTGTATCAAAAACAGACTAGGCTCACTCATGTACATGACACAAGATTTGCACTTTCCACCGCTAAAAGTACTCTATGTGTATAGTCAGGTTTGCTGGAATCAGATATGCTGGGCTGAAGGCACTGACTTCGCAGCGTAGCGGTAAATCCAACACAAGGTACCAACTGCTCTTTCAATGGCCCGCCACCCTGTGACAGATGCAAAGGAAAAAAAAAACTACACAAAGTCCTGTGAAATAAAAGCAACCGAAGGTGATGTTAACCCCAACGAGTGCTCATCTGTCTACACAAATATGAGTCTAGCATCATGACAGATAGGTCAATGGCTGGGAAAGGGTCCTTCGCTTTAACAGGACAGAATCATTTCTCTTTCTAAACTAGAGCTGGTCTGATTGTCCATGCTTTCCTGTCCTGTGCAATCTTCAGTGCAGTTTTCCATATCAGAGATGCCATACTCAGATCACTTTCCATTGTTCGTCTCCATGTTTTTGGGTGCCCTTTTTTTCTCCTTTCCTCTGCTATCCAAGTGATAGCTGTTTTGGCAGGTATACCAGATTTCATTCTCATAATGCGGCCAAGCCATTTCCATCTTCTCTTGGTTATCATACTGTCTAGAGTTTCTCTTGACTATGACTGAGATTAAATAAATGCTTGCCAATAAGATAACTAAACCAATAAGCACCATGTTTATACAGAAGATTAACAGCTATGCACACAAGCAATGAGCCTCCAGAACAAACTGGTAGCAGCAACAGCTGCAACACTAAATATATGAAAAGCAATGTCCTAATGGATTCTGATTTGGTATATTGTGGCAGTGGTTCTCCCCCCCCCCCTCCCCCGGATCACACACAAGATTGCCTTGTCCTGTATACTTTAAGGTAGAAGAGGTGACAAATGTAAAACAATGGGGGTGAGGGGGTGAAATAATAGCAGAAGGCTGAATGGATGAAAGGTTTTCTAATTTGAGAAATCAGTGAGTGGTTACTAAGGGGAGCTGTGAATCTCACATACAGATGCAATTTAACCACAAATTTCAAATGTCACCATGCAAAATTCAACTTACTTCAATATGGTTACACAGAAGAAACAAACAAAAGACTAGTGATGACAACACTAATAATTGAAAAATAAAAGTGAAAGGAAGTGATATCGTGTACCATATTGGAGTCACAAGAATTTTTAAAAAAAGTGCATATTAGTACATTGAAACATAGATTACCAGATGTAGCTGGTAATAAGTTAATTGTTTTCTTCTCAAAGTTCCCTTCCTGCACACTTAGGAGCCACTCAATGAAAATAAATCACAAATGCAGCGGTAATTTACAATCAAGTTCTACTTTACAAAGAGTAAACTAGAACAAATTATTCATGCTGCTAATAATTCCTCACATTTATTTAAAAGGGTCTTCTTTATGTAAATGAGGAGCGAGGAAAAAGGATTGTTGCAAAAATTTATAACCATATAATTATTTAAAAGATGGAATCAGCGTGGGGGTCACAACTCACAAGAAGGGTCAGGGAAAAACTTATTTTCACTCAATTCAACAAGACACCTTTCCCAAATTAATGCGGGACAGTGTTGCGAGGACATAACAACAAGTCTCCTCAATAACTAACTACATAAAGAACTATATAGCTCCCAGTACAATGCTGTTATGCAATCTGTACAACTCTGTCAGCCACGTATAATACAAATTAAACTGAAAAATTTCAGTATTTGTCTTTAATACCGAAAAAAAAGTAGCAAGAGAAAAGTTTAAAGCAGTCATACATAACTTAGTCAACTGAAAATTTGGAGAAAAAAAAACAATAGAAAGATAATTTTTCCACTGCAAATCAAACAACAAAACAAACACTACTTCCCTCATGTGCTGTATATAAGCAAATATATCTCAACACCATATATTAATGCATGTCTCCTTAACCTACAGCAGTACGCTGCTATTACTGTCTGAAATATTTCTACACTAATCAAAGCCTATGGTCAGATTTTTATTCCTTCTAAATTGCACAACTTATTGCAAGGTATGAAATAAATTAAGTGTACTTTGGCTGCAAAGGGAAAGCTAAGACTCCCCGACATAAGAAGTAAACTTTTAAAAAAAAAACGGTTGCAGTGGCGCTGGCTATATAACAAACAAGAGCCAGTCTGCACACACCGATATTCAAAATAAAAATAAAAGATTTCCCTAGCAGAAGAATTATTTGACCAGAACAAGGGGTAAGCAGAAGGAGATCACCACCTGTGATGGTGGTCACCTCAAAGACAAATGCCCTACAGGGTAAGCCTGACCAACATAGGTAGGATCGAAGTCTCCTTCCAAGTCACAGTGCATCTACCTGAAATAGCCAGATCTGGAATATGGATGTGAACATTCAAAGTTCTGGAACAAGAACAGAGCCCCGGTACAAAAGACTAACCAAAACTTCCCTCTAGAGTCCATTGCTGGTAAATACAGGAGATAACAATGACACGAACAAGGGTATTGTATATACAAGAATTGGAAAGAGAAAAAAACGGCCTATGATCTTTAGGAACCAACAAGAGGGGAGAGAATACATGGCATTCTGAAATACTAGAGATACTGTGTTAAACTGGGCAACGTTAGTGTCCAATAAATCCATGGAATGTGTGACATGGTATATGAGGTCAGTGACGGCACCATGGGAAATTTATGTATGCAGTTTCAATGACAAATGGACAGTGTCAGAAATTTAACCCACATTTTCATTAAAATGTAAATTACCGGCAGGGAATCAAGCAGTACTGTAACTTAAACATCCTCTCAGCCTGCAAGGATCACAAAGAAGCAGGATTCTAATTTTGTAACTCACAGGGACACGTCGGTCAAGCTATGTGATGGAACAAAATACTTCACATTAAGACCATATTCGCTGTGACACCTAAGACTGCACAAGGAATAATGAGATACCTTCTCCTGTTTAGGAGATATCATTTAAAACATCATTCTAAGCTTGAATATAAGTGCCGTGTTCTTTACTGCCTGAACATAACTGCACACTGGGTCAAATTTAAATGGATTTGTGCAGTATATACAAAATTAGTGGGTTTAAAGAATTTAACATCAGTACCAATTTACTTCCAGTTGTATCAATCCTCGACTGTTACTTACTATCCACAAAACATGTGTTTTGTGCACCAGTTAACAATTAGACCTGCTAATTCCCCAAAATAAAAGCTGGAGGCAAACTGTAATCATATAGGCCATAAACAACATAGATAGCAAACACATGTCTAGCCTTCCAGGTCATGGAATGTTGTCTCTATGCCAGACTCTCCAGAGTACAGGATGCCTCACAAGCCATTCTCAACCACACAGAACAGACAAAAGTGTAATAATATTTCACCAGAAACTATCAAAGATGTCAAGATCATGTCATCAATATCTACTGGTAATGCAAACGTGACTCAAAGACAGTTGGAGACAACAGGGGGAAAGCTCGGCCTAGACTTCAACTTAAAACAGAAGACGAAATTATCACTTGATTCTTGCGAATGCAAAAATGAAAAGATATTTGTATTGTTCTGTTTACAAGTATGATCAACTGGAACCTGTTGGCGTTAACGGTGAGAGCCATCTCCGGTGCGGAGCTTCCTCTTCATGATGACATCCATGGGAATTTTGCGTCGGTCATAGGCCAGCCCAAGAAAATGCATAGTGTCGATAAACACTGTGGTGAGGTTGAGGTGCCAGCCATACTCGCTGGTGGAGTAGTCGTGTGGGAATACATGGTGGTAGTTGTGGAAGCCTTCGCCGGTGGCGCAGAAAGCCACGTAGTAGTTTTCAGACGGGTTGATGTGCTCATCATAGGGCCTCTGTCCCCACATGTGGGCAGCACTGTTGACTAGCCATGTAGCATTTAGTACCAGGGTGAAACGCAGGATGGCAGCAACGTAGAATGCTATAAAGGCACTTTCTCCCCAGAAATACACAGGAACATAGGTCGGCATGAGGAAACAGAACAATAGGACCAGCTTCTTGTAATGCCTGCAAGAAACAAACCATAAACATTTTCAGTTAATTATTTGTGAATTGTACTGGTGCTAGGGAAACAAATTTATTTGCACGATTTACATTAAAAAAACCAAATCCAATGCTCAAGATAGGGACAAAATAACCCTGCACATAAACTCACTTCTAAATAATAGGTGCCAAAATGGGTCAGGCTTGGATATGTGACACTGATGCACCAGGCCCATAAGTGTAACAACCAACCCAACATTTAATGTGGACAATTATGGTATCAATAATCTCTCCCAAAAAAACTGTTCAGGTGTGGTAAAGCAATATGAAGGTGAAAACGAAAGAAGCAAACAATGCATGGGTGTTGTTACAGATTTGATTATACATAATACTGTAATAGGTGGTAGTGAGTGCTTATGCACATGCCAGATGACTGGTGTTACCACACCAATATTACAGGTGTTTATACTAGCAGCCTTTACTATTCAAACATTTCATGCATGGTACGGAAATCCAGATTTCTAAGTTCAAAAAATTTATTTGGGCCGTATACTGCTATGTTATGACAAACTTCATTCCTTGTACAGTTCAATGCCTACAATTTCAATCTATAAAACTTTTTTATTTTAAATTTTTATAAATGGAATTAGGTCCAGCAGCTCTGGCCTTTCTCAACATCCATTTTAGAGTTTCTTGCGGACATACTCTTTCGTTATTCCACTTCCTTCCCATAAAAGTGCCCATTCGATGCTTTTCTGCTCGCTTCTTTGTGGGATGAGTCCAATACAGTGCCATCTTCTTTGTCCAGATAATCCAATCATATCGTCACCACACAATACATAAATACACTCATGTTATAATGTGAACAGTGTACTTACGTATCTTGAAACATCACTATGGGATCATTTTTCAGGTCAGAAAGATCCAGGACTTTGCCCTTCTCTTTCACATCAGGGTGCTTTCTGACCAACAACCAGCCTACATGAGCAAAGAAGAATCCTCGTTTGGCGTTATGTGGGTCAGCATCGGTCTCAGAAAACTTGTGATGAGCCCGGTGGTCCCTGGACCATTCTAAGATAGAGTTCTGGGAAAGAGGCAATAAAGACAGTTAGTACAGAGCATAGAAATCTTTCATATGCAAACTTTGGGATTAAAGCTGATATATGTCACTAGAGCAGCTGGTTTTCTTCCCCTTCTCTCTCATCGCTTCAGGTGCCGAGATACAAGGTTTTAGCTGGTCCCTTCTGGCCATCTGAACCATAAATACACTGCACTTCTGTAGATTTTCTCTGATATCGCTCCATTCTGTTCTTGGTCTGTTGCTCTACTATATATAGTCACAGGTAAACTATATACTAGAACGGGTATTGTTATTCAGTTGCTGTGTAAGTGGGGGCGGGGTGATGGGACAATCAGAAACTCGAACAGACTGTGCCTTATTAGCTTTAGAGAGCAAGATATTGGGTCTTAGTGAAACTACATCCTACAAACTATGATACTACTGCCCTCAATAACCAGTAAAGTGAACAACCTTTTCCACATCTTCAGGCATATTCGGCATACAGTGCTATACCTATATTTTATAGACCAATCAGCACTTTGTGGGTGATGTGATCCTGCCAGTCGCCTATAGTTCCCATGACTCCATCTGGTACTTACCAAGGCTGGGTCACCTTCGGATCCGCTAGCCACTATATAATGGTGGCTTCCCAAATAGCCAATGAAGAGATTAAATTTCATGAAAAATGTAAAACAATGGAGAACAGACAAACCCCAGTAAAGTATGCATTGCTAGCCCATGCTCAGTTTCATCCTGGATTTGGATGGCTGGGAGAGAAATCTTAACATCTATAATGGCTCGTCCAGTGGCATAGTTCAGGTAATATTTGAGGCTTGCTTAACGAGTCAGTAGCTCTAAAAAACCACAACAATTCCACTTTAAAAACTACAAGTATTCCATCAAATCTGCATGTTTTTAAAAATCAAACCAAGCAATCCACCACATCAAATCTGCATGTTTTTAAAAATCAAACCAAGCAATCCACCAATCTTAAAAGTATTAAATTAACTCTTAATAAATACTGCATATGTCTTCTTCTGTATATGGGTGGTTGACATGTGTTGCAGTTTACAGCAAGGCTGCCACATCTGCAACTTTCAGCTTAATACATCCTATTTCAGGATACCCTACATGACAACTTGTCAGGGACAGGTGTAGCGTGTGAATTTGTATTCCTCCAAAACAAAAAAACCAGAGCCCACACATGGAATACACGTGCAAACAGACAATTTTACACACACACAAATCCACATAAAGCTATGTGAGATTATCCTATCCTACCTGAAAAGATAAACAGTTGCAAAAAGCTAAGAAAGCTCTCAGTGGCCATTTAGCCTTGTAGGACCTGTGTGACCACAGCCTATGTGCTCCGGCTGTGATGCCCATGCCTGCCAGCCAGTAGGTGAAGGCCACTGTGGAACAATGCGTTGATATTAAATATATTTACTACAAACGTGCACTCACACCTGAAAACTGCATAAAATTAAGATAGAAAAAGCACTCATGCTTTTACCTGTTAACCGTCTCACATTGGGACAACCTTTTTTTCCTAAGTGGGTCATGGCCCTGCTGGAGTTACAGAAAATCCGACAATACAATTTTACAGAAGGTCACTAAATAATGTGTTGGATGAGGATAATACAGCAGCAGAACAGATACAACAACCACACCAGGGAAGACATTCAGCTTGGAATGGGCATGGAAGTGGGTGACAGCGACATATCATCATCCGCTAACACGTTACGTTACGTTGGGGCACCAGTTTCTATTGACTGTCTGATCAGCTCTCCGCACCTTTGGCAGCCAGTTGCGATGGATTTCATAGTTGCATGACCGAGGCCTGTCCAGTCAGGTTCTGTAACCAGGTCTTTCTTGGTCTGCCTCTTCTCCTCTACTGAGCCCTGCAATACTGTTTTTGAGAGGCCGTAAGTTCGTATTACATGTTCATACCATTGCATTTTTCACTGTAGTTAAAAGAGGTTCATAGTTGCTAGTGTACTGTATAATTTTATGGTGAACCTCTTCCTTTGTAATGTGATCTCTGTATGATATGCCAAGAATTTTTCTTAAACATTGCATTTCTAATGCTTGTATCTTTCTTTCAAGTTCAGCTGTTAAGGTCCACATTTTACAGCCATATGTTAATGTACTTATTCAGTAGTTGCCCTTATAACACCTGCTTTGTATTTTATTACTAACCAAATTTATTATGCACTGGCTCACAACCAGTGAGTATATTTGTTATGTGTGTGATTCAATACCACACAGCTACATTTGTTTAAGACACACAATCACTAACTCTAAAATGTGGTACATATGTTCTTAACAATTTTCATGAGCCCTGCCTAAGTTGATATCTCTCAGACCCTTGCGTGCAGTAAAAAATATGTTTTCTTTTAGGTGTCCTGCTTCTGACAGACAGTCTGCTGGTATGTTGGGGGGGGGGGGGGGGGGGGGGCCAGATCATCTGCTGGATAAAACAGTTCCTAGGAGTGGTCAGGCACTGGATAGGAGCAACGTCATTAATGACACATGAGATGCATCTCACAAACATGTGATTACAGCAAATAAACATGACTCCATACGCCTGTCTAGGTTGGTGGATATAAGGTACAATTGGTTCTCGGAGATACCAGGCATAGATACTTTACTAAGGACAATGATACTTGCTTAATTATCATAGTATAGGCATGATCGGTTGCTTTGCATTTGTGTAGTTACTAAAGAAAACAGAACACATGGATTGGCATGCAGTGTGATGTCGATAGTCCTCACTAATCACTAGTCTGTTTCCTCTCATCTATACAAATTTGTGGCTGTACTAACTGCCACATATATGTTAATGCTTACATCTTCTAGATAATGATAAAACAAACCATAGCTATTCAAACTTTTACACTGGTGTTTTAAATTTGGCTGTAAGTGATTTGGCAGCAGACCGCCTTGCATTGATTTCAACAATGGTGTCAACAGCCACAGCATGAGAGTAAGGAACAGCAAACTACCCCGTAAAACCAAACATCAAATAATGCTGAGGTTGGTTCTGTAAGATCTTGTAAAGGATACATAACTTATGTAAATTTAAAATAACGTGTCTGGTATATGAAAAATAACTCATATTTCAGTGAACAAACCCTAAGATAATAAAAGGCAGGAGGAAATACATGGCTAGCAGTCAATAATGGTGACATATCTCTTGATGCATTTTCTTAATGACTGCTGAGAGAAGGAAGTATAGACATTGTGGTCATGACCGCATGAAAGGATAGTTCTGACATAATTGCTTGAAATGGGATAATCAGCATTCACACACTGAATTCAGATGGAAGAGAATGAGTATGTGCAGATTATTTGTCCAGTATGATGCAATGATTCTAAATTATAATCACAAAGGAAGATTAATGATTGTTTTTTTATCTAATCATTGGAGAGGACGGTTGCATTCCACTGTATCTCCTTAATGGTAAACTGTAAACGGAAAAGATCTGCAGGAAGGCCAGGGCTACAAAATGTCCTATAAGGACACAGGCAAACATAATCTGAAAGATATCAACATAGACACACAGGAGAGGTCATATGCAGACATACACCTATCAAGACAGACAGTAAAAGATGGACTGCAGTGAGCTACAGAAAGGAGATATCCGAGAGAAAAACCAGCCTCAAAATTTGTATGTGGATGAGACTGCCACTCCCGCATCAGACTATACAGTCATAGCAGATGCTGTTCCATAAACCCCATGGTAATTAGGAACAGACGGTTATCTACTAAACACTGGATATACAAACCTCAAACATGCAAATTAAGCTGGAACATAAACAAGGTCTTATCACATATTTAGTAGTGAGAGACAGAGTCGATCCATGGTAGGGTTATGGAGTTTTTGTCTGCCAGGGCAAAGTTAAACAACCCAATATGCACCAGCCATGCAGTCCTAAATGCTCAAACTCTAGACATCCCCCTCATGGTATTCATAGGTAGAAAAAAATTTTTTTAATAATTATGTACTATACACACAGGGTTAAGTCAACTGCAAAAAGTAAATCCACTCTATAATGACAATGTTCACTTCAGCACACAGAGACAAAACATATGTAAACTTACTCCACAGAAGTGTTTTATATTGTGCCTGTGGGAGGAGAAACAAGGAATAAACTGCAGCCAGATGTAATACAGCAAACAGCACTACATTACGCCAGACAATCTTCATAGGAGGGCGTTTCTGTGTGGGAGGATCAGCAATAATTGCTTCCACTTGGTCTAACCCAAGATGATCCCCCTCATAATCGTTATTTTCTGCTGCATTTCGTGGTGCCATTGTTGCTAATTATGTATTGACACTTCGGACACCTGCAAAATGACAAAATAAATAATATATTTTTAAAACATCATTACTACTTTTTATGATAACACTATTACTGTTTATAGTTTTTATTTGCCAATATTTTCATAAAAATGTTGAACCGGATATGATTGGCAATAATTAAAAAAAAAAATGTCAACAAATGCAATGAAGATTATTAAAAAGAAAAAAGGGATTAACTGTCAGAACCCTAGTATGGACACAACCAAACCAAACTGCAATGAAATGTTTTTTCAGGAATCTGTGGACAGCTAAGCATATCCGTACGTATAGTGCATCATTCTCCACAGTAATACTGTTATGTCAATGTACAAAACCAAAATAAACAAGCTTTATCATGACGATGAGGATACAAGAAAGATCTTGCATTTACATATGTCACTTCACTTCCTCTTTTACTGTTGCAGGTGTCAGGGAATATATACGGTTTTGCGTTTCTCTTCTGGCTGTCTCGTCCTTTAGACAAAAATTGTGCGGCTGTGGAGTTCCTCTGATGTTATCTGTCCATGTTGTTCTTAGTCTACTTCTTGCTATATGCCTCTCTCCTCTTCTGGTGTATGACATGTGTCACTTTTAGTATTTCTTGTAAAAGATTTTCCCAACGATTTGCACAGATGGTAGCTATTTTCTTAGGACTCCAGTTCAAAATCATAAATCAAAACACTTTCAACATGCCACAACAACATTCCAAACCTAAACTACATAACAGGCTTAGAGTGAAAAGTGTCTCGTTACACTAACTATACACTATGGAGGAGAAAAACTATTTAGCACCTCATTAACACAAGTTCTTTCAACAAACTAGGGTCCCTGTTTTATTACAGCAATTTACACATATTCCAATCCTTCAACAAAATTGTTCTGGTTGTAAATATCAAAGTGAAACAAAGTCCACAATAAATATTCTGCTGAAATCTTTAATTCAGTCCAGAATCAGTCCCCTTCCCATTCTTTACCATCCTTACAAAATTGAAATCACGGGCAATAAAGAGTTATAGAACAATGCACACACACAGACTAGTAGCAATTACTACAAATCAATTTAAGGCTGCAGTATTATTTCCAAGCAATTCGTGCCTTTCAGTATTTGTAATTTTTCTTCTGAGTGCACTATCCAACAGTCATGTGATATTTTAACATACACCACCCCCCTCCTCCACCCCCAAGGTTAAAAATAAAAACATTCACAATAATAATTATCTCTGGGTGACTCATAAGGTCGCCTGTCACGTGCCAACACTATGGGACTTCTTGCGACATATATGTAGGTTAGTATTACTATTTTTGTTTTTGCTTTCTGCCTGTGTTTCAGTAATAAACATGTTGGTACACAATACTGTATAATCTGGATATGAATAAGTATCTAGGCAAGACATTTTCCTCTAGGCTTTTCTATGGCTGAAACAGTCATTACATGTTAGCTGTCTACGGCAGAAGGTGCCTGAAGAAAATGTTTGGTTTTATTATCAATGCTGACCACTACTGGAAGCCTGCCAGTAGTTTTGGCTTATTATTTATGAATTAACTGTTTTAACAGCTTTCCTATGCCCAATCTGTGAGGCTATGCTGTGTACCCTTGCAGCTGAACTTTGACTCATAAAAGAAATAAAAGGGATTAGGGGATGAAAAGAGAAAGAGGGGGGGGCAAGAGAAAGAATGGGCATACTGCCCCCTAACAAGCATTTTCAGAAGAGATGATTAATTAGGAGTTTGCTGAAATGGAATGAGTTGGGCTAAAAGATGCAGACACTGCATAGATGTAAACCACAACATAATGTGCCATCTGTCATTTTAAGGATGAATGCAGAAAGAGTATCAACAAAATTCACAACAGAGGTGAACAAGTAACCTTTGTGCACATGGCTAATAACAAAAATGTAATGCTCTTTCAAATCAATAAACAGTGTTTATCAAGAACAAGTGCTTGTCAATTCAAACTGACAGGTTCCCAAAATGTTTCTAAATCCAACAGAAAATGATTTGAAATGTCAAGCCACACTGACTGGCTGATAAATACATGCCAATGCATTCTGAAAATCAATAGTGGCAAGACAGCATTACAACTGTACTCACAAGTAATATCAATATATTATCAATTTTTTGGTACCATGCATATGCCATATACACATGTCTGCAACCTCAGGCGTGGAACAAACAAATTATTTTCTATAATTTTTAACCCACACATTCAGTACATATTCATTTTAGTTTTTCTTATGCCTATATATAACCATTAGAGCATGTTTTTTATTTTTAATTAGTTTAATAAATGCAAGATTTTAAACCTCAAAAAGTGAGAGGGATAGAAGGCCTCAGTGACATAAAACTGTATTGATCTGTGAACCTTAAACTTCTGATATGGCAAACCATTGTCTACAGAAATGAGCATAGCCATAAATACAGAGAACAAAGGGTACTTACTATCTGTGGGCTATCCTCCGAATAACGGCGGCCAAAAAACAGGGACTCAGCTAATATACCACCACCACCTAGAGTATCTCCCGCGCTGCTAAACTAGATTGCTGGGACTCACAAGCAAAGCTGCAGGAGATGCGGAAGCTGCTGCTTGTGAGTCCCAGCCATCTAGTTTAGCCCCGCTCCGTGGGATATAATCTCATGGTGGCGACATAGTCGCTGCAGATAGATTCTTTGCTTACTGCTGAAGATGGGGACAGAGTACTTATAGGAGTGTCCTGAGTGCTGTGACGTCAATTCTTAATTCAACACTCAACATCACAGATGGAATCCAGTACTGCACCTCTGGCCAATCCCATCAAATTAGTTTTAGGGTTTCTTCCAGATGTCCCCACTTCCTCATTGCCTTTATTTCCAATTCTTGTGCCCGCCTGGTGATTCCCTGTTCGATTCTTCTCAGCACATGTCCAATATCTATTTTTTGTTCTATAAATGTTAACAGTGGTTGCCTGGACATTTCTTATTTCATAACCTCAACTAAATTTATCCTATTTTATGTTCGTTTTCCTCAGGCATATGTTTTCAAATGCATTTTAGCTTTCATTTTAAGTGGTTTAGTTCAATTATCACAAATGTATGTTAAAACTAAAATAGCACTAGAAATTTAAAAAAAAACCTGGTAGACACTTTTAGTTATTTAAAAAAATAATGATTTTTAACCTGAGAACAATGTGGTCTGCAGTGTCACAGACAAAAGTATTATATCCCATAACACTGTTTTCTTCTCCTAACATTTTACCCATTTATTAATGACTACCAGCTTATTTCCTTGATCAGCCCAAACTATTACATTTTAGCATTGAAAAAACTGCTGAAATAAGGTGCTGAGTATCTCTAGAAATTAAAAACATTCTGTGTTTGCCACTTGTAAAATTTCAAGTATATATATATATATATTTAGGCTCTCCTTTAAATAACAGGCGCTAGCTGGAAAGCCGACGGTCGTTTAGTCAGAGTGCGCTCCCTTGGCTGCATTGCAAATACGAAGCGTAAAGAGGGAACGAAACAAATGACATACTTACCTGTCATCATACAGTTGTGTAGGTTAGGGTTAGATGTGACAATTTTGACGCAGGAGTTACAAATACTGGCCGACAATCTGATGCTTGTGGGAGTGGCGCCACTGGAAGTCTTCTAAATATGACGTCAGTAGCGCGCGACTGGTGCCCAATTGACGGCGAATTGTCCATTTGAGTAGTATCCACAGTCCTTCAATTGTTTGGGTGTGTATGTCACTGTGCGCGATTATTTGGAACTCCTGCGTCACTATTTTTACATCTAACCCTAACCCTACAAACTTATCGGTCATTAAGGCATACAGATCTGCAGGAGTCACATCCGTGGCAACTAAGTCGTGCGTCGCAAGAACGTGGTTGCTAATGTGAGTCGGAGCTCGATGTCTAACTGCCATGTTGACCTTGTTTTTTATTCGTGACTTGTCCACTCTGTATCTGCAATGCAGCCAAGGGAGCGCACTCCGACTAAGCGACCGTCGGCTTTCCAGCTAGCGACCGTTATTTAAAGGAGAGCCTATATATATTTCTGTCTACGGCTATCTTCCAAATAACGGTAAAATCTATCGAGGTCAAAAATATACCCTAACAGGGCCTCGGTCACATGTAAATTGTGGACTTCCGCCACCGCCGTGCTATCTCCCATGCTACGGGTGTGGAGGCTAAACTAGACAGTTGGGACCCATGAGCAAATAAAATGAAGGAAGCTGTACGAGATGCGGTAGCTGCTGCTTGTGGGTCCTAGCCATCTAGTTTAGCCCTAAACCATGCGCGCGTAGCGAGATACTCTCGGCAGTGGCAGCAGTCGCCAGAAGTGCACAAATTAAGTCGCCGGAAGTGCACAATTGACACGTGACTGAGGCTCTGTTAGGGTGTTTTTGCTGCCGCCATCTTTTGTGCCCGTTATTCGGAGAATAGCCGTTTTATAACATGATAAAACTGGGTTCTCCTTTAAATAATGGTCGCTAGTTGGACGTCGACGGCCGCTTAGTCGGAGTTCACCCCCCTGGCTGCAGTGCAAATACGGAGTGGACAAGTCACGAATCAAAAAACAAAGTGAAGTCAACATGGCTGGTACACCACGAGCTGCGACTCACATTAGCAACCGCGTTCTTGCAACGCACGACTTAGTGGCCACGGATGTGACTCCTGTAGATCTATATACCTTAATGAGCGATAAGTTTGCGTGGCTGTGGTGGCTAGCTGAGCATAGACTTATAAGGAACATGCAGGTATGTAGCTCGTGCAACCGTCCTATGTCCTTAGTGCCTCGGCAGTTACATGTGTTACCCTAACCCTAACCTAACCCTTGGACGACAGGTAAGTATGTCATTTCTTTCGTTCCCTCTTTTCTACTCCGTAATTGCACTGCAGCGAGGGGAGTGAACTCTGACTAAGCGGCCGTCGCCTTCCAGCTAGCGACCGTTATTTAAAGGAGAGCCTAAAACTGAGACAGTCTGAACTGAA